CCTGAGATCATGACCGGAGCTGAAACCAAGAGTTGTTTGCTTAACTTACTGCACCACCAAGGCGCCCCTATAGAAAAAAAATTTTTTAATATATATATTTTAAATTTTTTATTAACATATAATGTATTATTTGTTTCAGGGGTACAGGTCTGTGATGCATCAGTCTTACGCAATTCACAGCACTCACCATAGCACATACCCTCCCCAATGTCCATCACCCAGCTACCCCATCCCTCCCACCCCCCCTCCATTCCAGGAACCCTCAGTTTGTTTCCTGAGATACGAGTCTCTTATGGTTTTGTTTTGTTTCATTTTTCCCTCCCTTCCCCTATGATCCTCTGTCTTGTTTCTCAAAATCCTCATATCAATGAGATCATATGATACTTATCTTTGTCTGACTTATTTCGCTTAGCATAATACTCTCTAATTCCATCCACATTGTTGCAAATGGCAAGATTTCATTTTTGATGGTTGCATGATATTCCATAGTGTGTGTGTGTGTGTGTGTGTGTGTGTGTGTGTATCACATCTTCTTTATCCATTCATCTGTTGATGGACATCTAGATTCTTTCCATAGTTTGGCTATTGTGGACATTGCTGTTATAAACATTGGGGTGCATGTGCCCCTTCGGATCACTACATTTGTATCTTTGGGGTAAATACCCAGTAGTGCAATTGCTGGGTCGTAGGGTAGCTCTATTTTCAACTTTTTGAGGAACCTCCATACTGTTTTCCAGAGTGGCTGCACCAGCTTGCATTTCCACCAACAGTGTAGGAGGGTTCCCCTTTCTCCGCATCCTTGCCAGCATCTGTCGTTTCCTGACTTTTTAATTTTAGCTATTCTGACTGGTGTGAGGTGGTATCTCATTGAGGTTTTGATTTGGATTTCCCTGATGCCGAGCGACGTTGAGCACTTTTTCATGTGTCTGTTGGACATTTGGATGTCTTCTTTGCAGAACTGTCTGTTCATGTCTTCTGCCCATTTCTTGATTGGATTAGTTGTTCTTTGGGTGTTGGGTGTGATAAGTTCTTTACAGATTTTGGATACTAGCCCTTTATCTGATATGTCATTTGCAAATATCTTTTCCCATTCTGTCGGTTGTCTTTTGGTTTGGTTGATTGTTTTCTTTGCTTTGCAAAAGCTTTTTATCTTGATGAAGTCCCAATAATTCATTTTTGCCCTTGCTACCCTTGCCTTTGGTGATGTTTCTAGGAAGAAGTTGCTGCAGCTGAGGTCGAAGAGGTTGCTGCCTGTGTTCTCAAGGATTTGTCCCTATAGAAAAATTTTAAAGAATTGTCTCCTCTGGCTGGATCTGTCACTTCTCCTCCCATTTACTACTTGATCCATGACAATTTGGCCTCCTCCCCAACCTCGGAGGGTGACCCCACCCTGGAAGGATCAGCAATGAAGTCTTAAGTTGCCAAATCCAGTGGCTTCTCCTTTTTCCCTGCCAGAGCTTCCTTTTTTTTTTTTAAAGATATTTTTTATTTATTTATTTGACAGAGAGGTAGAGAGCACAAGTAGGCAGAGGGGTAGGCAGAGAGAAAGGGAGAAGCAGGCTCTCTGCTGAGCAGGGAGCCCGATGCGGGGCTCGATCCCAGGACTCTGGGATCATGACCTGAGCCGAAGGCAGCCGCTTAACCGACTGAGCCACCCAGGCGCCCCCCTGCCAGAGCTTTCTGCAGTATCAGATATGGTTGGTGCTTTCCCCTTTCTGTAAGCTCCCTGCCTGCCCTCTGGGCTTCCTCTCTCCCCTCTGTCCAGGACCTAACTTTTCTGACCACCTCTGGTTGGTCCTGGCAGGTTCCTCTCAGCTTAATGTTCCCTAGGTTTGGGCATCTAGCCCCCTCCCTCTCTGCACACTCTTCTTGGGTGGCCTTATCCACTCTTGGTCTGTATGATTCCGTCCACGTGACAGCTCCTATATCGCAGCCCTGGCCTCTTGCCTGGGACAAGTCAATCCAACTTCCTTCTGAACACCTTCATTTGGATGTCCCTCAAACACCTTACACTCAAGAAGTCCAAACCAACTCATCATTTCTACTTTCCCTCAACCCCAATGAATTCTTCCTGCTTTGTTCCTTCCCTGGGAAGTCGTCATTGTCTCATTCTTTACCTCACCCCTCACATCTAGTTGGTTCCAATTTGAAACTGTCTGGAACACATCAGCTCCCTGAGGATGTGTTCTGGCTCTGCCCTGCAGGAGGCCTCCTCACTCTCTTGCTTGGATAATCATAGCAGTCTCACCAACATAGCTTGTTTTTCCTGGTCTTTCTCCTTCCCAGTCCATACCTTCCAATTTTTCTGATTATTCATTCCTTTAGTCAGTCAACAAACATTTGCCATGCACAAACTCTGCTCCTAATACTATGAGGGGTGAATGATACAGATTGACCCAAAATAGGTAAATAAATAATCTAGGGGATTTCAAATTGTGGGGATTGCTATCAAAGTAAGCAGGGGGATTGAGAGAAAGTAGGGCATGGGAAGGGGATTTCTTTCAGAGGTGGTCTTTGCCCTGGAATGATCCCCCAGATGAACATGACAGTAGTCCTGATGGAACTGGGGGGCAGCAATGATAGAAAAGAATGTGGCTGGGGACCCCACGTTAGGTTGGGAGCCAGGGAAGGTCTGTGAGGAACAAAGGATGAGAATGAGCTCTGAAGACCTGCAGGAGGTGCTTTCCAGGTAGAGGGAAGAGCTAGTGACAAGGCCCTAAGGGGGTTCCCAGCACACAAAGGAGCTCAGGATGTTTGGAGCACAGTGAGTTAGGGGCAGAAAGAGGAGGGCAGAAAGATCATACCTGGTGGCCCTGGTGGTGGTGCAGGGCGGTGGTGGTGGTGGGACTGGGTTTTATTCTAAGTGCAAAGGGAAGCTATTAAAGAGTTTTTCACAGGAAAGTCACATTTGACTTTATCTCTTCAAAAGATTTCTCCCTCTAGGTGTGTAGGGTGGAGAGCATCTGGGGGTGAGGTGGATAGTGTGGCTGAGTGCTAGGAAATTAACTGCAGTGGTCCAGGCAAGTCCTGTGGGCTGGACTGGGTGTTCGCAGTGCAGATGGAGAGGTCTTAAACCTTCCTTGGGTCCTCAACCCTTACAGGCTAGCTCCATACTCCTTAGGACAACTATTTGGTTCTAGCCTCCTTCTTCAGCCCATCTCCCACCATTTCTTCTTTGTCTTTGCAAATGTTGTACTTTTTAGAATGTTCTTACCCATTTTCCCTTTGATTTATCCCTGAGACCAGGCTCAAATATCCCCTCCTCTCTAAAACTTTTCAGGGGGTGCCTGGGTGGCTCAGTTGGTTAAGCAACTGCCTTTGGCTCAGGTCATGATCCTGGAGTCCTGGGATCGAGTCCAGCATCAGGCTCCCTGCTCAGTGGGGAGTCTGCTTCTCCCGCTGACCATCCTCCCTCTCATGCTGTCTCTCATTCTCTCTCTATCAAATAAATAAATAAAATCTTTTTTTTAAAAAAATAAAGCTTTTCAGGAATTCTCCAGGGAGAGCCCTTTGAACTTCTTCAATGCTTAGTTTATATCTCTATAATATCACACTGTACCATCCTGTATGTTTACAATTCTATGTCTGAAGAAGGTGGACCAAGAGCTTCTGGAAGGCAAGGACAGGCTTTTGGTAAATGTACAGTGAGGTTCAATCATAATCAAAAGATATTGATGGTCCCACTATGGAACAGTTCACATAGGTCAAGACTCCAGTCACCCCTGTTATATTCAAAATCACCTCATAATGTGTAAGTCCTTGATCAGAAGAACAGATACTAATGTGGTTATTACATCTCATTTGATCCTGGAAACAGCCCTGAGAGGTGGGTACAGTGGGAAAATCATCTCTATTTTACAGATGAGTAAATCAAGGCTTAAGGAAGATGAGACTGGCCAGTGTCCCTGAGCCCCCAAATTCAGTTCTATTGTTGACTCCTGGGTCTCCTCGCCTATCCTTGAATCAAGAATGTAAGACTTCCTGTCACCTCTTCATGGTGGAGGGGACATCCAGCAGAGAGATGACTCACAGGAGGCAAGATGGGGAAGCAATTCTCCTTCCCCCTTAAAAAATTGCCCCACATCACCACCTTCTTTGTTCCTAATAAGGAAAGCAACCATCTCAGCGCTTATAGCCTTGGACCCTGGAGAAAGGGACTGAATTGAAATCTTGCCCATCTCTACCATTTACAGGTTATGTGACTTTTAAGGAATTAGTTAACTTCCCTTGCCCCCACCCCCACCCCCCGTTTTGTTTTGGTTTGCTTTGTTTTTGTTTTTAATCTGTAAAACGGGAGTGAGAAAAAGTTACTTAGTAGGGTTGCCGGGAATATTATAGGAGACAAAGCATCCTCCCCAACGCTTAGCCATATAGGGGTCTTAATACTTGCTAATTACAATTACTGGCCCCAGAAATTTTCCTAACCACTTTTCAAGTATCATCTCTTTTAATACAACAATCTTATGCCTTAGGCGACATACAGGCTTGGAGCTGTTAATAACGCCCCCAAAGAAGTCGAGACTTGAACCCATAACCTCACAACCAGGCAAGGCTTGGCAAACACGCGTGGTTCAGAGAATGCAAGCAGCTTGCTCATGGACTCGTGACCAGTTACTGACTCTATACTCAACCAGATTTTTGATTCCGAATTTATAGTTGGCATAACTTCTGAAGGTCTGTAACACGTAAGCTCCATAAAACTGGATTTGGGGAGGTGAAATGGGCAGTCCTCCAGAGGAGTCGAGAGACCGGCTTCTGCCCCAGATTGTAGATGAGGTGAGTCTTTAATTTAGACCTCTTTTTCCTTACCGTGAAGTGGGGGAAGAAGAGTTATTAGGGTCCCTAGAGCCCTTTCCAATACTGACTCTCCAGAGCAGAAAACCCCTGCTTAGGTAAAGGCTCACTCAAATCCCTCCGTCTGGGGTTCATCCTCCGCGGGGCCCGCAATAGGGACGCGTCCCCTTTAAGGCGCCAGCTCGCCGGCGGCGGCGGCCGGAAGTGTTGAAGCCCGGCCTGGCGGCGGCGGTGGCAGTAGCGGCCGTGGCGGCCTCTGCGCATGCTCCGTCGCCCGCCCGCCCTGGCCGCTCGCCGCCCGCCCGCCCGACGGAGACGGTGAGGAGGGGGAGGGGTGGGCGCGCGGGCGCGGGCGCGGGGTGG